GTAGGTGTGAATGTGAGTGTGCTTGGTTGTCTGTCTCTAAGTGTAGCCCTGTGATAGACTGGTTACCTGTCCAGGTGAACCTGCCTTTGCCCTACGTCGCCTGGGATAGACTCCAGCCCCCCATGACCCTAGTGAGGATTAAGCGGTGTATAGATAATGGATGAATGCATGGAAGTAGTAAAATACCTGTAGCATGTAGAATCCCCAACTTTTTCCAGTGTTGCTAAAACCTGGGAGTGCTTTGAAACATATACGTTACTGATTTTAGGTTTTAATCAAATAAATGTTGTTTTTTTTTGGTATGATTTATGACATTATAACTGTGTTGTATTGCACAGAAGACATTTTTAAATCCTCTCTACTTCTAGTCATGGTTGTGCTGGTTCCATACAGGTGGAAGACTTTAGAATGCAGTAAAAAAATGAGTCCACAGTTAGTAAAAGTGTGGGGTTCGGAGGGTTAAGGCACTCAGGATGGTTATTTTTGTTTGCGGTCTTTAAATGTTGTGATATATTAGAGATATGGCCCTTCATGCTGCAAAATGTTGCTGCTGTCCCAAAGTCTGACAAACCACCGACTAACAAATATGTCTACTAACCGCCAGCTCGTGCCTCCACAGAGAGAACAATAGCTTTTATTGTTTTGCAGCGTTCAGTGATGCTGGAACTCATTGCACTGGTCAGCTGGCAGAACAGTGAGACATTCTGGTCTGGAGTGACAGCTGACAAAATGGTAACTCCAACGTAAGGCAAACATGTGTAGGAGACAGATATCTCAAGAAAAGCTTTCGTTATTTATTTGACCATGTATTGATGTGCTGGAAACTGCTTCTGTACAATCACTCAGAGACGGTACTGTTTATTTTTATAGCTATTTTTGTGATGTATGAAGAATGAAATTACGTTCACTGGTCTCTGCTCGGAGGATGATGGTGTTGGCCGGCTGCTTCCTCGACAGGCCTCAAAGCTGGCTTCTCCTCAGCCGCAGAGCTCTGGCTGGCAGCCCTCTCGCTGACAGTGACGAGGTGGTTTTGAGACACCGGTTGGGCCTCAGCTGCTGAGGATGGAGCAGCGTCTTGCTCCTGTACATCCCTGCTGGTCTGAAACGAGTGAAAACAGACGATGGAGCCACTAAACAGACTTGAACTTTCTTCCTCTTGCAAATGAAAACTTGAAATCCTAACCAGTAACACATAGCCATGCTGATGCCTTTATTACCGTGTGGTTAGACTGTTGTATTTTATTTATTGTATGTGGGTGTACAGCAGTTGTTCCTTCAGCGTCTGCAGCTAACATAACATGCAGTTGCTCATCTTCTAATAGGAAAAAAACCCAGTGTGATCACATCAGACCAGTATTGGCCTCCCTCCACTGGCTTCATGTCCGTTACCAGGTTGACTATTATTGCGTGTTTTTATGGTTTTAACTTAATCTTTTATTGTGTTGTAACTTTTTCTTTTCTTTTCTTTTTTTTACTACCTTTTTATTGTCTTATAGATTAAGATTTGTCTCTCAGTGCTTGGTCTTACTTGATTTAGTATGACCAACGTTAGCCAATGTTAGCAAACTTGATCACTATGTGTTAAGTTAAATTTTGGCTGCTCTACTATTATGTTGGTATTTATCTTTATGCTTCACTGAATTTGTAACACAATTCTATAATATCCTTGTAGAGTCTCTGAGAATAAACAGGCTTTAAATCTTCACTTCATCAGCATTTCTCTGTCACATAACACAAATAACAAATGTAAGACACCAAATACTGATAACTGATCTGTTGCCACGGCTTCATTTGGTTAAAACCAGGAACCAATATGTTAGTACACATCTCTGTTCATTACTGAATTTGTTTGCTGTTTTATTCCTCTTCTTTACTCACAGGACTCCTAGCAACACCTTTTCTTCAACCCTCAAGTTACCCAAGTAGTTTCTAGAAGCTTTTTTGCCGCCTGTGAGCTCATTTATCACTGCGTCATAAAGTCCTGCACTTCTGTGGAAACAGCACAGATATAGCTAGAAGTAGAGAGAACTCAGAAATGCCTATCACGCAGAATGAAAAAGCTATAATGCCATAAATCATTAAAAAGTAGATTTTCTTTGAATATTTATTTCACAGAAAAGAAAAAAAAACAAACTGGAACCAACATGTTCCACATTTGTGCCCACTGGTGTTACCAATACTGGAAAAATGGTGACGACATGCTTTAGATATTTTACTACTTAATTTTGAATTTATGTTCAGACTTTTCTTCTTTGCTCTGTTTAAACACGGCCTGCAGTTCAGCTGAAAAGCAGCTGAACTTTCAACACACGACTGTCGGTCACAGTGATGGTTCATCAGTTGGGACAAGGAGTGCAGCATTAAATGAGACATACATTAAAGTGATTTATTTATTTTATTAAAACGCCGGTATGTTCTCAGATTTTACAGTTCACGCACAGATAAATCGTGTCATTTTGATGATTTCTTAAACACAACAAGCCTTTTGAGATTCACTTTTATGATTAAAACCACAAAACCTTGTGACAGGCTCTAAATGTAGGACGTAGTGGTTAACACAACAGCTCATAGCAACAGTAAACTGACAGAGTAATGCTGGTAGCAGTATCTAAAGTTAACTTAACATTTACCACTATTATCTCTGGATCACACCTGTTTGTGTGACTGTAGCATCAAAACCTCTTTACATGTTCTCACTTTAAAGATTTTTAGGAGTTTAAGAATCAGTAATAGTATTGACTTTATCAATTATTCAATTTAATTTGCAGCAGACAGCGATCTCTTGGCTGCTCATGACCACAGGAGACAGGAAATGTTTGAGGCTTGACTTCTCACAAACCCACTGTCGCAACAATCCACAGTTTGAGTTTAGGATACGTGACAGTTCTATCCTATCGAGGTCATATCAGAGACGCTGTATGTCTCCATTGCTTCTTTGCGGTCATGCATTCAGTGTCAAAGCGTGAACTTTTTCTATACCGTGTGTCAGATATAAGCAGGTCCACTAAGGTCGCAAAAGTAAAGGGAATACCCAGAATCCTTCAGTTCATGTGTGTTTGCTTTCCTTCCTTTAATCGTGAAGGACAAATGTGGGTATTTTGGTCTTTCTTTTGCTTTCTACTGAATGTGTTTTAGTCACTCATCATATTTCCTTTAAAACATAAAAGCAGTTTTGTTATAAAAATGTAGTGTTATATGTGATGATTCAATGCTCTTCGTATGAACCTATGTGCTGAGCGAGCTCTGTAAAGTTTCCACTGAGGAAGTACAGAAGGCCATGAAAGATAACGTGCACACCAAGCTACTTAGTGAAGAACAAATATAGTGCACGGCACAGATTGTAGCAAATCAGTGCACGAAAACGAACATTGGACACCGTGTGCCTGGGTGCCTGAAGCAGATGTGAGCAGAGGAGAAATCTTTTGTATGTCTGTATAAATGCTTCAAAGTTTCTTGAGTCTGGAGTCACTTGTTCAGACTCTGTTCTGTACATGTGATTCCTTGCGGCAATTAAAACATTGCTTTGACTTGAGAGACGACTGTGTGCTGATTGGGAGCAGTTAGGATTCCACTGAAGAATTTTCTTTACAAGTTTTTCTAAATGTAGTCATTTAGAAACACCGGCAGGTTTAGCTTCACATAAAGGCTTCGTCCTTGGCATAGCTGCAGCCATCAGACGTTCATAAACGCTATCACAGTGTGCAACAGTAGCACGTGTAAAAAGCTGTCATAAAGTCAACAAACAGTCATGTGTGTTGTTCAGCAGTACTTTAATCATCAGCCTACCAGCGTCCATTAGTTACCACAAGCCAGCGGTCAGACTGTACCGAGTGGCAGCCAAAGTCCTGATTGTTTCAAACTGTTTGTTTCAATCCAATTTTTTATTTGTAAGAAGAAAAATGTCACACGTCATTAAACTTCAGTGCTGAATTTTTTCGTTTTTCACAGAACCTCATTAGAGCAAACGTTTTGTTTTTGGCATTTCTTTGCAGAAAAGATAAAATCATCTTTTTCTTCACGTTAGACTAAATCTAACACCATTATATGTAATCAGGTTCAATCTAAGTAGATCCTTAGAATGTGGATCCCCAAGAAGATCCAACTCTGCAGTCACATTTAAATGTTCTGCACTTATATGTCGCTTTTATCCAAAGTGCTTTACAATGTGTTTCTTATTCACACACACATTCATACACTAATGGTAACAGAGCTGCCATGCAAGGTGCTGCCTGCCATTGGGAGCAACTTCAGGTTCAGTGTCTTGCCCAAGGACACGTCAACTGTGGAGGGGATCTAACCGGCAACCTTGCGATTGGAGGACAATCCGCTCTACCACCTGAGCCACAGCTGCCCATTTACCAGCCTTTACTTGGAAATTGGAAAATCCTGGGTATTACACAAGGAGTCTGAAAATTCAGTCACACCCACTCACTGAAAACAGTATGTGCTTTTGAAATAGGGCTTATGAAAACATAAAGAGGGGCAGGGAAGCGTTCCTTGCACCTTCAAGGAAAACATCTACATGTGTTTGTGTGGGCCTGACCTGCTCGCCAGTGTCCTGCAGTGTATCTGTGCTTTTGCTGCCTCTGTGTGGCTGAGATCCGTCACTGCGCTGTGGGTAAAATCCCCACGACTGGAGCCTGTTGACACCCACTGCAGTGCGGGCTGTGGCGTTGAGCGGACGCTGGAGTGGGATACGATCAGGTAGATCCCAGGTGCCCTTAAAGTCTGACCAAGCACTGCCTCTCTGTAACAAAACACACAGTGAGCGCTTCACAGTGACAGAAAGGCCCCTGTTAATGGAGAGAGAAAACAGAGGATTGATATGTTCTCACCTTCAGTCCTGGGAGCAGATATCCTTTATCATCAGCTATGAAGGCGGTGTGACCCAGCCGTGCAGTGGGTCTCTGCCAACACACAGTGGGATAAACTCACTCATCAAATTTTCAAATGACCATGCATCCAGGCAATAAGAAATACAGCTAATGTAATGCAACAGGACAGGACTGCTGATACATCCACTACCTCTTTGACGTGCTTAGTTGGACCCCAGTTCTGCATCGTCTGTGGTTTGAAGGTGTCGTCATACTGATGATAGAAGATAGATAAGGCGAGAAAAAATCATAACAGACACCAACTCTGTGATTATTAAACAAAATGTAAAATCTTACATCACAAACACAAACGTATCTGCACATTCGATTAACTTTATAGCTCAAATTCTGTTGCTCTGACTTGAACTGCATCATAAATGCTACTCAACACATACAGAAACTATTTTGGAAATTAATGTAGAATCACATATAGAGAGATGATATCAGTATTGTGTCATCATCATTACTAAAATTTAGTTTACTGACATAAAAATAATGTCAAATCCCCAATCAGCAGGGATGTTTAGCCGCAAATACTTCAAGCTAGCTAGCTAGTGCTACAGCAAGCTAATATAGTTAGCTGGTATGTTGCTGTATTAGATTAACAACAAAAAACAAGTTTGTATATGCATATTAAAAAAAAAAAAAAAAAAAAAAAAAACTAAAACAGAAACTTATTTTGTTCTGTCAAAATACTACATAAACACACAATTTCTTTCGATTTTCTCACACCAGTTACATTATTTCAGTGCTATTTGGAGACTGGCTGCTGTCAGTCAGGAAAAGACCTGAAATGAGAAGTGACTGTATCTAGAAGTCGGGAGGGAAATGAGGCGTGTATGGGGGTTTCTTCCATCGGTTTAACCTCGAACAGAACAGAAAACATTTAAAGTTTATAGTTTGTTTCAGTGCATATATTTAGTTTACCTGGTTTGCTGAGTAATTGGAGGACATTTCTGGGTGCGTTACAACCTCCGTGTCTGTTTATGCTGGTGACTCGTTGCATAGCAACAGTGACGGTGCTGCTCATTGGCTGGGACTCAGGGGTTGTACAGAACGTTTCTGTTTTTGTTTGTCTGTTTGCTTGTTTTATTCTGGAGAAATTTCCCGCCATATGCAGTAATACCGCCAAATGTATATACTTAAAAAAAACAACAACAAGCAAATAAATAATAAATAGCTATTATTCTGGAGCCTTGGCTTAAAAAATGGTCTTTTTTGTGACTATTTAAAACAACAACAACAACCTTGGAGCACTTGTTGCATTGAAAACAATTAATTTGTTAGTTAGTTAGTTAGTTTTTTTTTTTTTTTTGTTCCATATAAAACAATTCTGCCATTTAAAGGGTTAAAGTACGAAAAATGAATCAATATTTGTTGGTTATGATCAGGACTGATGATAAAATAAATAAAAAATAAAAAATCTAACTGAGTGGAAGTGGAAAATAATAGTAATATGCAATACTTTTATCACAGTTTTTTTATTCAGACATTTTTGTCCTCTAAGTTCCTGAGTGTGTGTTTGTTATTTAAACCTGCCAATTTAAATGAATAAATAAATAAATGAATGAATGAATGAATGAATGAATGTATCAGAATCAGTGTCGTTGCTAATCTCTGAAATGTCCCAGACTGTGACAGTTTAAAAAATCCACTTAAAACTTATTATATGGAAAACACTTTAACATTATTATATTTTATTTATCTGTGCGCGCTTGTGTGTGCTACATAAAATACAACAGTGGCACCACAGAAATAAACTGTTATTTAAAGGGCTGAAGTCCTAACAAGGATTGAATACATGGTAGCTATGACCTGAACTGATGCTGATTAAAATTATTTGTCGGTAAAAATGGAAAAGTAAATAATTTTAATGTCTACAGACTTAGGTTTAATTAACTTTTTTTTAATGGATTTGCGCGCATGTTCCATTTGTATATGTTTGACCTAAAGCACAATAATCAGCGTCCGTTTTTTTTTTTTTTTCGCAATATATTCTCAGAAGGAAATTGCTGACTGGGAGCCACACTATTTTTCGTCCGGCAGCTTCCGTGCACCGGAACCTTGTAAGTCTTCTGTGTAGCAGGTTAAAATGTCCGGCTAACAGCAACGACCCACACCTCCTGTGTTTGGTGTATTTTCCAAATTTGAAACCTGAACCAACTTCTTAACTCCTAGACAGAAAGTCCGTCTTTTTCAAACGTTAAATTCTTGTTCTCGTGGTGCCGCAGACATGGAGGGTTCGTCCTCACGTGTCTCTGCCTCGCTCCCGGACGGTGCGCTGCGGAAGGCGACCAGGAGAGACTCCAGCGGGGATGCAGAAACTGACCCTGGCCGGGACATGAAAACACACTTTCGAGTCTGTCGCTTCATCATGGAGACAGGTAAGTGCCTGTATGGCTGCATGGTAACACAAAAAGACTGTATGGTAACACAAAAAGACTGTACAGTAACACAACAGGACTGTATGGTAACACCCGAGGAGGCTGTTTCCACAACTAGAGTGGAGGACACTGAACTCAGCTTCTGGTTCGTCAGTTAATGGAAACTCGCAGCGTTGAGTGACTGATTCTCTCCTTTTTTATTTTTATGGCCATGTTTTAATTATGTAAAACTGCATTCTACATTTAGACAAACCCTTAATTTTGCCTGAAACTTATTTTAAAATGTGTGAAACCTTTATTCCAAGTCTGAACAGGCAAAATAGTGTGATTTTACTACTATATATAGCAGTAAAATCACACTTAAACTAGCTTGATTTAAGCTAGCTTGTCCTACAGAGACTAAAAACTCGTGAAGCATAGTTTCTGTTTTGTAATAGGAACCGTTATGCTGCTTGTGAGAATAAAAAAGGGAGATAACGTTGCTTTTTTGCTCATTTAAGCCACATTAGACCAGATCTAGATCTATTAAAACCTTTAACTGGGTTAAATTATTCAAAGTCACTTTTGGAAGACAGGCTAAAGACCCTTTAAAGGGCAGCTTCTGATCGGAAAACCTTTATTCTGTTTGTGAAAATTCTGCTTTATGCACAGGTGGACCACATTAGACCAGGTCCAGATCCACAACTGTTGTATCTGGGTTGGCCAAATCTAGACGAGGTTGTCTTTCAGAGGCGACAGACTCCTGAAGACCCAGTTTCTGATTTGGGAAACCTTTACAAGAATGCAACAAGAAAGGGAGATGTCACTCTTTTTTGGGAAAATGTGGACATTAGACCAGGTCGAAGTTAAAGATTCATTAAAGTACAGTTTGTCATTAAACATCTATTGCTTTTTGCACATCTGGACCACATTAGATCAGATCCAGATCTAGAGTCACTACGTACAGGATAGCCAAATCTATCCTAGATTGTCATGCAGAGACTAAAGATTCATAAAAACACACTCTCTGTTTTGTGAAACCTTTATACCATTTGTACAGGGCAAAAAACAAACAGTGATTATGTGGACTTTCTGCAGAACTGGACCTGGATGAATGAGGTCAACATGCAAAAAAAAAAAAGAAAGAAAAGCAGTGACTCTTCCTCCTTTGTGTCATTTGTGTTTTTATATATAGAATAAAAGTTTCCAAAGCTTCAGAGCAGGTTTTAGATAACATTACTTTGGTACCTCAACAGTCTCATGATTTTATGTCATTGAAATGTGGCAAAAACAGAATCTGTTTAAATCTAGTTTCTAACTTTAACTGTCGTATCAGAAACACACTTCGACATCTAAGCCATGCATGAGGGAAGCCCTTTCTACCAGGAACAGAAATACAAGTTATGTGTTATAAAGGATAGTTATTAATTTTTTTTGCTTTGGACCTATTATGTCAAATTCAGACTAACTATTGTATGATTTTAACTTAAAGATTAGATTTTGAATATCTTCGATCGTGTCAAATTAGACTTTGAAACTTTGGACTGCACATTGATATTCCTTTTTGCATTTTTTTTTCGTTGTTCAGGTGGAAGTAGGCTTCTGCAGTAGTCAGACACATGGAAGAACTTTAAAAAGACTAGTCAGCCTTTACTCTGACTTGTTAATCTCATTCTCATATAGAGAGAAAACAACAGTTTACTGAATTTAACACGTGCTTGTTGTTATTCATCGAGGTCTGATGTTAAATTTACCTCACGTCTGATGCATCAAGCAGCACTTGGTCCACTTTTTGCTTTTGCCTGTACAGATGATTGTTTACTGTTTGGTGGTACACGACTGTGGTAAGAATAGAAAAAAGTTCACATTTTCACTTTGCAGCCTGCATCCAGTCGTGTGAATTCCTGCACATGATCTTATTCGTTGATTCAACTGGTGATTCAAATAATCAGTGTTACAGCAGATGGATTGGATGGACAAACGAATTTGTCGGAGATGATTAAAAACAGGGTGTTTTGAGATGAGTAATCCTCCTCATCCATCAGGAGTGAAGCTCGGGATGCGCTCGGTGCCCGTCGCCACAGCCTGCGTGTTGTACCACCGCTTCTTCGAGCGAGCCAGCGTCCGAGCATACGAACCCTACCTGGTGGCCATGAGCTGTGTTTACCTGGCTGGGAAGGTGGAGGAGCAGCACATCAGGACCCGGGACATCATCAACGTGAGCCACAGGTAATTTACACGGTAAAGAGTTGGTGCTACACTGCCAGACCGACCACATATAAGTAAATAAAAATACTTATGTTGTCAAGCAAACAATTCAGTATAATGAAAGAGAGATTAAAGTTAGCTGTTAAACTTATATTATATTCACTGAGAACGATTTTTTGTTCAGTGAAGTCGTTTGACATTGAGGCCACAAAATAATCACTTTAGTTAGTGAGCAGTCTGCTGAACGCTTTTTTGACTATTTTATTAATTATTTGATCTAGAAAATGTCAGAAAGTGCTATGCAGCGAGAGAGACCTCAATGTCCTCTCCATGGTCCTCCTGAAACAGCTCCCAGTCTGTGACATTGAGGCACTCCTGGAGGGGTCCCCTCTGTGTCCCTACACCAGACCTTCACATACCTTGTGCTGGCCACTTGTTGTTACACCAGCGGCCTGTAGGTGGTTTCAAGGTGTATCAGTGGGGAGAGAAGAAGAGGTCCAAGATTTTATTCCCTCTTGTTGCACACTTAACATACTGACTTAGCCTAGATTTTGTAGAAAAACACAGAAAATTCTGCATGACCTGGTGGAATCATGAAGCCATTAATGACTCTGCTCTGAGCAATGATCACATTGTAAAAATTCATGGACCGTTTGGTTAAACAGCAGGCTGTGTTTACATTGACCACCATAGGAGACAGTAGTATGGAGACAAATTTAAAATGTGAGTAAAATATCTTCACTTTGTAGAGCCACAG